TATAAATAAATAAATAAATAAATAAATAAATAAATAAATAAATAAATAAATAAATAAATAAATAAATAAGAGGCAAGGAAATTTGAACTTCCCTATAAGTCCTAGATTTTGTCTACACCACACAGTTGTAGCAGCTACATTTTCCATCTTATAAAAAACGTGGGATGAGTAGTTTAGTGATGGGTTTCGGATGGCCTCTTGAGTTCAGTAGAGCACACAAGTGTTCTCATCCGACAACTACCTCCATCTCACTTAAGGGTGCAATCAGATGTGCCAATGTGTGCACCTCATTGTATCAGAAAGGGTCCCTTTAATGGGACCCATCTTGCTTCAAGTGGTTGTTTCATCTTCACCCAGCCCTCAAAAGTCAAAATTCTACAGTTGGACCATTAAGGTCTGGCTTGGACACAGATGGGCATCAGGCTGAAGTGCGTTGCCCTGTGCATCCTGTGATGGCTGGGGAAAAGATTGCACCAGACTGCTTCACAAGTGGTCTAAATTGCAATGTATTCCCTAGTGTGCTCATTCCCTAAGTCCCTTGGTATAAGTACAGTGGTGCCTCGTTAATGACAATAATCCATTCGCTGTTAAGCGAAAACATCATAAAACGAAATTAAAAACCCCATTGAAACGCACTGAAACCTGTTCAATGCATTCCAATGGGGTAAAAACTCACCGTCCAGCGAAGATCCTCCATACGGCAGCCATTTTCGCTGCCAGTATAGCGAGGAATCCGTCCCTAAACACAGCGGGGAGCCATTTTAAGCACCCAGTGGCCATTTTGAAACGGGCGATCAGCTGTTAAAAAACCATCGTTTCGCGAAGAATCAGTTCCTGAAGCAGGGAACCGATCATCGCAAAGCAAAAAAACCCTATTTAGACCATAGTTTTGCGATTGCAAAAAGCTTGTTGTACAGCGATTTTATCATAATGCGGGGCAATCATTCAGTGAGGCACCACTGTACATCAAAAAAGCTACAAATCCCAGGACTCTGTAGGAGGACTGATCTCCTCAAATTGTACAATCATAGAATCATAAAACTGTAGAATAACTGAGTCAGAAGGGGTCTATAGGGCCATCACGTCCAACCCTCAAGCAGTCCTGATAGATGATGACGCAATTTTCCCTTGAATTCCTCCAGTGTTAGAGCGCTCACCACTTCCTGAGGTCATTGGTTCTACTGTTGTACTGCTCTAACATTTAGGAAGTTTTTCCTCATATTCAACTGAAATCTGGCTTCCTGTACCTTGAGCCAGTTATTACGTTTCCTGCTCTTTGAGGTGATGGAGAACAGATCCTGTTCTCTTCTGACTACAGTGTAGATGTAGTCTTTCAATCTTAAGAGCTACCATTCCTGGTTAGTGTTATATATTTTTTACCTATAACACTATATATGTTATATATTTTGGGGGCTTCAGATTAACACACACAGAGAGAGAAAGGTTGCAAGGTTAACACACAGAGAGAGAAAGGTTCCAGGAGAAAAGGGATCACTTCCTTCCCTGAAAATGCTGTGGGCCCTGGGGGAGATTTTTGAAAAACATTTCCATTGCATCTTGTGGCTCCCAATGGCTTCCCCAAGTTAAACAATATCCCAAGAGAGCATGGGAACTTGGAGGGGCAGAACTGAAAGCTTTAAATTCCCTGAAAGCAGCTGCAGTCGATGATGTCATCAGCCTTATGGGGTGTAACTATGTGCAACTGGATTCCAGCCTCTGCATTATGCTGTAATGTTTGTGGACCAAAGTCTACCTCAGCAAATGCATGGCAGAACAGAGAAGTAGCCACTTTCCTTGCTCACAGGTTGGTAAATATAAAGGAGCCATTTTGTGTTCTGCGTTTTGGCTTCTATGTTTCCTGGTCAACAGAGAGCAACAGCAAAAATGATACCAGGATCCCCTGAACTGCCCTTACGCCTACTGTCACCATCACCACTAATAAATGCAACCATGGACAAGAATGAGAAGGTCCCAGTTTCTTACTCCCTTGTGGTCTTCTCCATCACATCAGGAAGGCACATACTGTATTTGCTTCCTGCACTGCTGAAAATTGTGTCAATTAGCCAAATATAGAACCCTTGTACTTATTTTTATTTTTACTTTTTCAAAGTTATACCACTTCTGTTTAAAAGCCTTGATCCTGATTAGAGATGGGCATGAACTGCCATTACAGCAATTCGTTGTGGTTTGTTTAAAACAGCAACAGTTGTTCGGTGGTGGGGTCACTCCCTAAGTCCCTGGGTCCAAGTACATCACAAAACTACCAATTCCAGAACTCTGTGGAAAGACAGAGCTATTAAACTACTGAAATGGTACAATCATAGAATCCTCGAAATGTAGTATCAGAGTTAGAAGGACCGCTAAAGACATTGAGTTCAACCTCTTTCTCAATGCAGGAATCCAAGTCAAAGCAGATCTGACAGATTGTTGTCCAATTTTCCCTTGAATACCTCCAGCATTGGAGCGGTCACCATTTCCCAAGGTCATCGATTCCATTGTCATACTGCTCTAACAGTTAATACATTTTTCCTGATATCCAGCCTAAATCTGTTTTTGTATAGCTTGAGCCCATTATTATATGTCCTCCACTCTGGGATGATTGAGAACAGATCCTGCTCCTCCTTTGTATGAAAGCCTTTCAAGTATTTGAAGAGGGACGTGGTGGCACTGCGGGTTAAACCGCAGAAGCCTCTGTACTGTAAGGTCTGTAGATCTTCAGCTGTAAGATCGAATCCATGTGACAGAGTGAGCGCCCGTCGCTCATCCCAGCTCCCGCCAACCTAGCAGTTTGAAAGCATGCAAATGCAAGTAGATAAAAAGGTACCACCACAGTGGGAAGGTAACAGCATTCCGTGTCTAGTCATGCTGGCCACATGACCACAGAAACAGTCATCGGACAACGCTGGCTCTATGGCTTGGAAACAGGAGTGAGCACCGCCCCCTAGAGTTGGACAAGACTGGACAAAAATTGTCAAGGGGAACCTTTACCTTTACCTTTATCATATCTCCACTTAGTCTTCTTTCCTCTTTCAGTCTTTCCTCATAGTGCTTGGCTTCTAGTTTCCTGAGCACCCTTGCTGCCCTCCTCTGAATTTGCTCCAGTTTAGTCTTCTTTTCTCTTTCAGTCTTTCCTCATAGTGCTTCGTTTCTTGTCCCCTGAGCACCCTTGCTGCCCTCTTCTGAATTTGCTCCAGTTTGTTGGCGTCCTTCTTAAAGTGCAGTATCCAGAACTGGACAGAGACCTCAAGATGAGACCTAACTAGCGCTGAATAGAGGGAGATTAGTACCTTGTGGGATTTCGAAACTATATTTCTGTTAATGTATCCTAAAATAGCATTTATTCATGAAAGAATAATGACTCTTCATTTATGCATCCATGAGACCCTTTCAAACTGCAACTGGCTTCACTCATCGCTTAATCATGTGGAAAAACTTGTTCCTTGTTAAAACAGTTGGCTGATATAACAACTAGATGTGTAACCTTCCTTCTCCAGTTCTATAAGGGCTAGAGACTTTTAAAAAGGGGAAGAAAATCTAATGAAATCCTGTCAAGCTGAGGAGCTAAATGGAGACCAGATGGCACACCTAAAATCGTAGTTAAACCTGCCCGGCAGGTTCTGATCAACACAATGATTATAACAAGACACACATGCCTCAACCGGCCCCCAAGTCAGGCAGCACCTTGCTTTCAAAACTTTTTCTCAGTAGTTTTTCCAGTAATAAGGCTAGGATGGTAACAGGTGATATGCTGTCATTAAATAATAGTTTTTGTTTCTTTGTTTCTTAAGTCGTATCCAACTCTTCATGACCCCATGGACCAGAGACCACCAGGCCCTCCTGTCTTCCACTGCCTCCCGGAGTTGGGTCAAAGTCATGTTGGTTGCTTCGATGACCCTGTCCAACCATCTCATCCTCTGCCGTCCCCTTCTCCTCTTGCCTTCATATTTTCCCAACATCAGGGTCTTTTCCAGGGAGTCTTCTCACGAGATGGCCAAAATATTGGAGCCTCAGTTTCAGGATCTGTCCTTCCAGTGAGCACTCATGGTTGATTTCCTTCAGAATGGATAAGTTTGTTCTCTTTGCAGTCCAGGGGACTCTCAAGAGTCTCTCTATGATTTTGGTTTCTCTAGGAAGTTTTGGTTTCTCTAGGGGGAACTTTCCTGGGGAAGCTTCCTTGTGGGTGTGTAACTTGGACGCCCGAAACACAAACTTCACTAAACCTGCATGAGTTGTCAAGGCAAGTCAGGGGAAGTTTCTTTGTGGATTTGGTATCTCCAGGTGCTTGCAGGGGTGTTTTATATGATTTAAGGTACAAAAAAAGATAAATGGATTCATTGATTCATCAGGAAAAAATGTACACTTGTAATTCATGATTTGTTGACCTTGATGAATCACAAATCAAAATGAATCACCGTTTTTCTGATTTATGCCCATCTCTATTCTAGACCAAATAAACTTCTCAAATATCTCAGCCGATTCAATTCAACAGGTGACTACTGAGTTCAAGATAATGTGCACACAACAGCTTTACCACATTGGGTGCTTTTGTGTGGGATGTGTATCTCATTTTTGCCTTCAAAACTGGGGAAGCTAAGACAAGATACAGTAGTGCCTCGCTTAACAAGGATAATCCGTTCCAGCGAAATTGCTGTAGAGCGAAATCCTCGTTAAGCGAAAATAAAAAACCCATTGAAATGCATTGTAAACCCATTCAATGCGTTCCAATGGGCTGAAAACTCACCTTCCAGTGAAGATCCTTCATGGGGCGGCCATTTTTGGTGCCTATATAGCTAGGAATCCGTCCAAAAACACAGCGGGGAGCCATTTTACACAACCGGTGGCCATTTTGAAGCCGCCTATCAGCTGTTTTAAAATCATCGTAATGCGAAGAATTGGTTCCCAAAGCAGGGAACCAATTGTTGCAAAGCAGATTTTGCCTATTAAAACATTGTTTTGCGATCGCAAAAGCGATTGCAAAACAGTCATTGTATAGCGGTTTCGTCATTTAATGAAGCAATTGTTAAGCGAAGCACCACTGTACCTTCCTCTAAGGCAAGGTTCCCAACCTTGGGTCCCCAGGGGTTCCTGGACTAATACTCCCATGAACCTTCACCCCCAGTTGGGCTGGCCAGGATTTCTGGAACCCAAGGTTGGACACCACAGCTCTAAGGACATTAATGTAAAAACATCTTGTGTCACTGCAGACTGTATGCTCCGGAAAACCTTTAACAGTTCATAATTACACTGAGGATGATAACGAGTCATTGGATGGACACAGACAATGCATTATGAAGTGGCAGCTTACCCCAAAGCACAGGTAACACAACAGGCTGTATGGTTTCTCCATGGCCACCAGTTGTGTCACGCGAAGAAGGTATCCTGAATTTGCCCTGTGGCTTACCAGAATAATACAGATTACCTTGATGAACAATGAGCATCAAAAACAGACAAATCAAGAGAGGAGGGTCTCTAGTGGACAGATATTGCATAGCTTCACCATCTTTCCAAATGAGAAATAAAGGAGCAACAGTCCACTAAGAGTTCATAGTTTCTTTGTGGGTGGTAAAGAACATCAAGAACTTGCAAAACATTTATATGGCATGCTTGGATGCACCACACAAAGTTTCAGTTACCAAAGACAGGACCATTTAAAAAATCTAACTAATTATATTAGAAATGCAAATTGGTTTGATTAGGCACACAGAGGGAATGAAGTAAGACCCTCAGCATCTGAGGACCAGAGGAGGGTGTGGGACCGGTCCCAATTCCCCCACCACTAGAAGCAGCCTGTCCATCTCCCTTTGAGTCGGGGCAAGATTCCTGACCCACAATTCACTTTTGGACCAGGGCGTCAGCAGAGACACGGATGATGCCCTCGAGGCCACAGGTATACCAATGGCTGGAAAGGAGGTGAGCGAGGCTGGAGAGGAAGACTGTTGAGCTAACGGCATGGATTTGGAAAATATTTGAGGCCCAAGAGGTGGAGCCATTGCCAAAACAATTGATGGCTGGCTGGGTCAACCATCAGGATCCTGACACCAGCCACTGGGAGGAGTTCTGGGTGCCACCTAAGGAGGTGACTTGAGTTCACCAAGATTAGACCAGAATTATGGAGGCTCAAGAACTAGAGGTGGGAGCACCACTGGCAGAGGAAGGAGCAGAGACCTCCCAGCCAGCTTCCTCAGAGCCAGCTGGGTGGCACTCCTCCTGCATCCCCTCCTTCTCTGCCATGATACACTGGGGGACCTAGCCACATCCAGCTAGAGTTTGGCTGAGCCTCTTGACAGGATTGCCACACCTACAGGGGTTATGGAGGCTCAAGAACTAGAGGTGGGAGCACCACTGGCAGAGGAAGGAGCAGAGACCTCCCAGCCAGCTTCCTCAGAGCCAGCTGGGTGGCACTCCTCCTGCATCCCCTCCTTCTCTGCCATGATACACTGGGGGACCTAGCCACATCCAGCTAGAGTTTGGCTGAGCCTCTTGACAGGATTGCCACACCTACAGGGGCTGCCGCTGGTGTGGATTATGGAGGCATTGTAGAGGAAGGTGCCTGTGCTACCGTCCTCCAGGGCCAAGTGTCTTCCTGTATATACAACCTGTGTTTCAGCACACCATTCCTGGCTCACCCAAGAGGTGTCCTCAAACTGCTAGAGGAGGCAGGTCTCCACTACTCCCAGAGAAAGATGTGTAAGGGGTTATTCCCCTTCCTCAAATACTTTGGGAGTCAAGGTAGCTCCTTGGTGCCCTAAAGTTGCTAAGTCTTGTTGTTTGGCCCTGCTAGCCCTTTAAAGAGTTCCATTGTTCTAATACAGAGCTTGTTTCTGCAAACTCGTCTTATGTCATTATGGAGGGGGGGGCATAGGGGTACTCCCAGAGGGCAACAGATCTGGCATTGGATCTAGTGGTGCCCTTCTGTTTATCCGAGAGTTTTTGATCTAGTGGGGGCCTCAACTAACAAAAGAGATAGCATTCTCTTTCATAATCTTCTTGGAAAGATGGATCCGAAATTGAAGGTGACCTCATAGGCCATAAGTTGGGGAGAAACAGGGTTTGCCCTGTAGGTTTGCTTTTAAGTTGGCTTGTAAGGGAAACATACAGAGCACTGGCAAAGACCACCCATAAATCTAAAAGTCTACTTCTGATAAAAAGCACTATAAAATGTTCTCAATAATTCACTGAGTACAGGGAAGCATTAGGTCTGCCCATCTCAAGCAGGCAAGGAAAGTGCCTTCTGCTCATCCAGGATTGCTATTTGTGTGGTTGCTGCCATTTCACATGTTTGGTTTGTTTCCTACAAGGAAGATGAAGACAAATCTCTTTTCCCAAATTGCATCCTTCCGCAAGTGTGAGCATCACATCAACAGAGACTGCACATAAACAGTTTTATTATTATTCAGTTAAGGAACAGAAAATGAAAGCTTTGGGGGTTATTCTTCCAAGCTCAAGCAAGGGTATCCTTCTGCATCCTCCACCGTGGTCCACATTTGCTAAGCAGCAAGAGCCAAAGTGTGCCAGGCTGGCACTTAAGTAAATGACAGAGCCATTTCAAGCAAGAGAGAAGATCCATTTGGAGATGACATTCAGGAGGCCGTTGTGTGGCTACTTGGCTGTTTTCCTATTGAAAGAAGAGAAGGTATGAGATGACAGTCTTGTTCATGGGCTAAGAGAGGGCCTGAATTGATTGCAATTCTATCAATTGCAATCAAAGGTCTATTATTTGGCTGGCATTGCCCCTCCAGAAGAACATCAAGAGATGCTGGCAAATAATAAGCAAGGCCATACAGCACCAAACTCATCCACTTCATGGATTGATTGCAATTCTATCAATTGCAATCAAAGGTCTATTATTTGGCTGGCATTGCCCCTCCAGAAGAACATCAAGAGATGGTGGCAAATAATAAGCAAGGCCCTACAGCACCAAACCCATCCACTTCATGGACACCAACTCCCTAAACAATGATGAAAACTGGGGGAAAGTTTTTGGCACACATCTCAAGCTCGAAATATTCAAGAGGAAAAGACTAGGTTAAACCTGTGGAGAAAAAAAGACAACATCCTGAATGGATGAATGCTATCTTCTACCAGAACAAGACTCTAGCTGGACCATCTGGAAGGCCCTTTAATAGACTTCAAAGAGAAGAAGCAACAGGAAGAGACTAGGCTAAACCTGTGGAGAAAAAAAGACAACATCCTGAATGGATGAATGCTATCTTCTACCAGAACAAGACTCTAGCTGGACCACCTGGAAGTCACTTTAATAGACTTCAAAGAGAAGAAGGAAGATCAAGGAATAATCAAGTAAAATGGGACTACTTGGATAGAGGACAAATTTTCTGTGACTGTGGAGAAATTAATTCAATGCAACACTTAGTGGATGCCATTTATGCCCCACCACACGTACAAAAGAAGATCTAGCAAATGACCAAGATAAGACTTATTGAAGTAGCCCACTTCCAGTCAAAGAGGACAAATTTTCTGCGACTGTGTAGAAATTAATTCAATGCAACACTTTGTGGATGCCATTTATGCCCCACCACATGTATGAAAGAAGATCTTGCAAATGGCCAAGATAAGACTATTGAAGTAGCCCACTTCCATTCAAAAATAATCTGATTATCCTAACATTTTAAATTGTTTTATATATAAAATTTTAAATTGTGCAATGCTCTGATGTGAATAAAGAAATACCCCCAGAAAGACTGATCAAGGGGCAGGATCTGTTCGTGATCATTCCAGAGTACAGGACACACAACGATGAGCTCAAGTTACAGGAAGACAGATTTAGGCTGAAGATTGTGAAAAACTGTTAGAGCAGTACAACAA